TTTATCTAGACTCCCATGTCTAGGGAATTTGTTTTAAACAGGGTGGGATTGGGGGAGAGGATAATGATCAACAAGGAAAAATTTTTGTTTTCTACACGACATAACATTGGTTCTCTCAGCATCTAAACACAGCACTGTGAGTCTATATAAAATTTACATAAAAGGGCGGAAGTAAAGACGTTTTTGTATCTTCTGTATTTTATACATATTTCATGAATGGATTTATTAAGAACTTATAAACGGTTTCACTAATACTTTATTTTAGGACTGTATACGACTTTTGAAAATTTTAATGTACTGTACTGTACATTACGCATTGACGCAAAAACAGTAACGTTTGTTTCCTAAAGATAAAAAAATCTATGTAAAATCTAACCATGATAGATTTTACATAGATAATTATTCAACTGCTAATAAACAATTAGATATTGTTTATTAGCAGTTGAATTCGTCTTGAACGTATGATGTACCATATGTACTGTACACAACTTCTGAATCATTAGCATCACTCATGTTATCACGACTTGTACTTGTAAGCATGATTTCATTTAATTTTCTGAGCATAGATGAGTGATTGCTTTGGAAGGAAAAAATCTTTCCAACGTGCCCTAGATAAAACTGTTATGAAATCTATGATTGATATGTCTACGTATGAAACCATCGAGTTTTTGGTTAACATTGAATGGACGACTCCCTAACCCTTACGATTCATGACAAATTATAGAAGTTTGAATTGGATTTGGCTCAGGATTTTTTACTATAGTAGGCTGACATTTTACCGCGTACAGTCTGGCCGATAAAGCCATGAAATGTAATAAATAAGGTGCATCCTAAGGTGCATAGTTACTAGTTCTATGTTGAGATACAAATAACTGTGAATAGATATTATTACTTATACAATTAATACAAAACGTTTTTTTAAAGTAATCGCACTGCATCAAGCTCAGTCGACAAAGTATAGAAAAAATTTCAGTAATATGTTAAGCATTCAGAATTTTTGAAGAATCTAAATCCTGTACTAAATATCTTGTCTAAAATTATCACTTCAGTTTCATAAAAGTATTGCATGTGACAATTTCTCATGGACTAATTTTTAAACTATTCTGTTTGCAACCAACTGGCAAAAACTGTTCAAACATATGTCCTAATGTATTCTCAAAAGTCTTCATAAGCGATTTAATGTGTGTACCCATACACAGAGTTCTTTTCTCATCTATCTAGGCCTACATGGTTGCAGTCTATCCGAACATACCATATCATTCTGGAATAGCATCATATGCTTTAGTTTTTAACCATGCTTGTATATATTCAAGGAGGAAACAGAAAACAGGAAATTCAATGATTGGAAAGATTTGAATATCATTGAAACATTGAATATCCTACTTCCAATTCACAATTTAGTCTGTCTTTAAAGAATGCAAACTGGTTATGAAAATTTTGATTTTGAATCTGATACGCATTCTTGAAATTTTTATACATAACTAATATTAATACTACTAAATATTAATAATTAATTTTCGCTTTTTCATTATTTTTTCATATTTGGTCTGAAGCAATATGGTATCTAATAAATAGCTAAAGTAATTATTATATAATAATTTCTATTGATCTGTTTTTATAATATTTAATATTTTTGTGAAAAGAAATTATGAAATATTAGTGTACGTAAAACGAAAAATAAGATAATGATTCTAGTTCCAAAAATAATATTAGGAAAAAAATATTATTTGATAAAAAAATATATAACACGATTTCTGTTTGTTGTATAACGCAAATCATAAATTTATCCAATAAATTTAGATTATCCTTAAAATTTATGACTTAACATAGAAGAAACATAAATAATCGAAGTACCATTTGATGTTACTTATGACATACATTAGAAGCATAAATTCCATCTTGCATTATTTCTTAGAATATCATTCATAGCAGAATACATGTAAATTCTTTTAGTTTTTTTATACCTCTCTATTTTTATGATACGTCTGTTTGTTAGTCATTCCTTTACTAATCTGTTCATTGTGTCGTCGTTTTTATTAATAAATTACAATGTTTTGAAATGTTAAACATTATTTCTAATCAAAATTTCACAAAAACTTTTAAGTACATTAAGTTTTAGAAATTAAAAAAAATAATAATCATGTTAAAATTATATAATATATTTTTTAATGTTAAAAATAAAAGAATCGATCTCTCTCATATTTGTTTACTTTTTGAATTTTGTTCTGAATTCTAAAATTTTTGTTTAGAATAATTGTCAGTATTATTGTATTTTATGATAATACTAATAATATAATTTTGAATAAATAAGTAATAAATTAATAATATTTCTGAATATCTGTAGCTATAATTTAATAAAAATTATAAAACATGTATAATTTGATGTTTTGAACTTCTAATTTTATTCAATGGCATTAGCATCATTGAACGGAATTTTCTGACTAGTTTTCTTCTAGATTGATTTAAATTTTCCTTCAGGAAAATTTAAGCTGCCAAAATATTAGGAAATTTTCCTCATTTTATGGCAGTCTGATATCATGCAATATAAGCAAATTTTTACTGTGTAATTTCATTCATAAAGCAAATTAGTACTTATAAACACCGTTTTATCTAGACTCCCATGTCTAGGGAATTTGTTTTAAACAGGGTGGGATTGGGGGAGAGGATAATGATCAACAAGGAAAAATTTTTGTTTTCTACACGACATAACATTGGTTCTCTCAGCATCTAAACACAGCACTGTGAGTCTATATAAAATTTACATAAAAGGGCGGAAGTAAAGACGTTTTTGTATCTTCTGTATTTTATACATATTTCATGAATGGATTTATTAAGAACTTATAAACGGTTTCACTAATACTTTATTTTAGGACTGTATACGACTTTTGAAAATTTTAATGTACTGTACTGTACATTACGCATTGACGCAAAAACAGTAACGTTTGTTTCCTAAAGATAAAAAAATCTATGTAAAATCTAACCATGATACTAGCATTAGATATTGTTTATTAGCAGTTGAATTCGTCTTGAACGTATGATGTACCATATGTACTGTACACAACTTCTGAATCATTAGCATCACTCATGTTATCACGACTTGTACTTGTAAGCATGATTTCATTTAATTTTCTGAGCATAGATGAGTGATTGCTTTGGAAGGAAAAAATCTTTCCAACGTGCCCTANAAACTTGTAATATAGTTTTTTAAATATACAAAGTATATAGTGTAATATTTTTCCAAAAGTCTCCATACACTGACACAAATCAAACTCACAAGTGGCCGAATAAATAAAAGTATTGAAAACTGGTAGTTGGTCATTGGTTCGTGCCTGAACAATGGGCTGGTCACCATGCAGTGTTCCGGGTTTTCTGCATGTGTCTAACACCTAAACAGAATTCAGATTCTGCATAGGAAGTACTGCTACAAGTTACTCCATTGGCAGATCACCCATGTATTCCGTTGCCGAACTCCGTCAATCCACTGACACAAATCTGAATTCTGACATTTTAACGTTTTGAAAATAAAGCTACATTTCACCTTTGTATTTTGGAAATATTCGGGACACTCTGTATATTTTAATAATATAAATTTAGAGTGATCATAAAGTCTCGATCCATTTTAACAAAATCATTTGTTTGCAGTCGTGTGAAGCATGCTGACCCAAGAAGAAAGAATCGTTATGGATTGTGCACTTTTGAGTAAATTAACCTATGTGGAAGTACCATCAAATTTTCTTTTTTCATGAATAAAACCACTAAACACTACAGGTAATTGGTCATATATTTGTGCCTCAGCAACGGGGAGTTTTTCGGGTTTTCTTTACGTGTCTATATTTAAATAGCAGCCGGTTTCTTTAGAAAGTTCTCCTGGAGGTATGTCTGTGGCAGATCGTCGAATCATTGTGTTGTCTTATTCCATTAATCAACTGACTAGCGAACCTCTTGTTTCACAGAATCCAAGATATCATGACACATTTCTTGGCGGACAGCACAGTCCTCTTCTAGCTTTTTCAACACTTGGACATAATATGCACGTTTTCTGAGTTTGTAATGGAGGATTTTCCACACTATTGGTTGTTCATGGCGCTTTCGGCTTAGCCTCCTGATAGATCATGTAGAATTCTGTGTTATTGAAATCTCTACACGTAAAACTGTTTTGTCCTGTTTTGTTCTCTCACCTTGGGTCATACTGACCCAAGGTGAGAGAACAAAACAGGATGGTGCTTAAAATAGGAGAACAAAACCTGAAACTAGGATGGTGCTTAAAATAGGAGAAAAATAAATCGCTTACTTTTCTGTGGTCCTAGGCTCCAGAACTATTCCAACTGGTCTCAAATTACTACAGAAGAAATTTGAACTTGATATATTGATATTTAGAGGTAGCTCAATGACCACAAGGTTTATAAAAAAGTGCAATTTATAACAAATGAAAACATACAAGACCTGTTTTGGTAAACCAGATTTGTTTCGCTTTTTTTGGACAATTACAGACAAATTAAATAGTCATGTAGACGCTACAATATTCAAAAATTTGATGGGTTACAAACTAAACTTCAACGAAAAAAATTTTAAACATCACAATGCACAAAATTTGAAATTTTTAGCAATACGTTCGATGTAACTTTATCAGTTTATTTTGATAGATGCAGAGAATGTGTCTTTCTTGCTGCCTAGATAATCTACCTCCAACTGCTCCTTCACTAGTTACTCTGTCTCCTTTACAGATTGCATCTTTAGTATCTGTGCTGCTGCTTGAGAATATTAGTTCTGCTATTTCATCACTTCTCTTTAAGTTTGCTATTCTGTTTTTTGTTAAGCATCTGTTCCTGTCTTTGTTCTGATCGTTTCTCTTTTGCAGCTAATTTTGCATCCACACCTATCATTGACCCGTCACGTCCTTTCTCAGGCTGAACTAACAAGAACTCATGATCCTCTGGAATTTTTATCGTTTAGACTGCTCTAAGATGAGAAATGTCAAATAGTTCCTCTAGTTTACTAACAAATTCAGTCTTATTTGTTTGCTGTGTTACAGATTGTCGCCTCTTGTTTTTCTTTAGCAAACACCATTCTTCAAATGTTCGTTCTATCAATAGTTTAGTTATGCAGTTTTTTGGATCCATCATTGGGATCCTTGCCATTTCATAAAATATTGCCAGCTTTTCGACTATAACAGCTGATGACTGTCTGATAGTTTGTTTCAGTTGAAGATGGTGATGTAAAAGCAGACCAAGAGCCTGCTGTAAGGTTGGCAACAAGTTGCCAGTTAATTCAGTTACTGTTAAACCAAGGAGGTATACTTTAGTTTTAGATCTAGTTGCTGCTGACGCCATATTTATTATGTAATAACTTTGCCGAAATGTAAAGAATGTATTATGTTATTTGCTTGAGCAGTTTCTGGATTACATAGCCTATGCATCTGATGATATCAGCAGTCCTTCAACGACTTGCCTGAATTTGTCTATACAAGCCAAATAACCAATAGATGCTGATGTAAGCAGTATGAGTCACTGAGTCAGTCTCAACCAGAAACAGAGAAAAACATTTGCAGAGAAAAACACTTGATGATGTCGGCAAAATAAAGATCACGAGTCATGATAGAAATTAATTCTGTGGGAAAGTCATGTAACTAATGTGTGATTAATTTAATGGTTTATTTTTTGAGATGACCAACTACAGTTTTTACATTTTAGTACAAACTATTGTACTAAAATGGATACATTGTGGTTGAAGCTTATGATTGCCATATGCTCATCCTTACTATTTGGAACCTATAAAATTTCAGTGACATTGAACTACCAGTAAATATTCACCAATGGAGTAGATTTTTGGCAGAAATGTTTTCTATAGTCTATATATTGGAATAGAAATGGATACAAAATTATTTCAGAAAATTCTGAAATTTAGATAATATTTTAATTGTTTGTATACTGGCACAATGAAGTGACCTTCTTTATCAACACTTTAATATTTTAATTGTTGAAATGCGTTTTTTAAATATATACTCAGTAGCAAAATGTAACGCATCAAGAAGTCGTTAGAATCCAACGAAACTTTATTAGTGCGAACATAATGACGGATAATCCGTGATTTCAGTATCATAGCAAAGCGATAATTTCCTGTTGAACAACGCTACAGTTTAAAGTAATTTTAATTCTTTTGTTGGATTTCTTCTTGCCTGGATATAAGCGGCGATACGATAGGACATGGAGACATACAGAAAACTTGTGCTATCCGATCACAGATTTTTCCACAGATGTTACAACTGCCGCTCCAGATACCACACACTCAAAGATGATATAAGGTAGTATATATCTGGTTCCACAAATGTTCGATTCCTAACAAAACTGGAAACCAGCAGACAAAGGAAGTGTGGAAATGTCATGAAGACATTCTTGACACATTAGCTAGGCATAGCTGACCATTATGTTACTGAAAATGGCGTTTAAACCCTGCTGTGAAAGTTACCAATGCTCCTGGAACTGCTAATAGTACGAGGGCCATTGGTGGCTGACTTTAATATGATGTGGCTCTCTAGATCAGCACACTAGTAGTGGAAAAATGAGTGCCGCTCACCAGTAAAGGCGAAGTTCGAGCACTCATTATTCATCTTCCACACACTAACACGGCGATCGCTGTTACATCAGTGTTCTTCACAAAATACGGTAAATTACCAGTCTGTAGCAGCCCTGCTAATGGCATGACGCTTAGCAATCGCCGTACTTGAAAATTTGCCTCTGCTGGTCTCCTATCAATGGTATGGGAAGAGACAGGATTCTGTAGCATAGCTTCCATCTGTATCTGAATAGTAGACAAATATGCTGTTGCAGCTCTTCATGCCTATCTCACGATCATTTCTCCTGGTGGTCTGTATGATACGTTCAAACCTTGCTTGCAGTGTATGTGTGGCCCTAACGTATCCACTGCTCCAACAGCACCACAGTCAGGTCAGTACGTCCCAGTGGCGTGAATTCGACAAAATAGTCGTCACTGGTCTTTTTTCACCTCGATGATGCGGCCTTTGTCAAACTACATCAGGTGTGCGTGATGTGTTTGACTTTAGCGTTCAGTCAAAACTGGCGGTCAAAGATCTTTATATAATGGGTATACTAAAAATTTGGAACACTGAGTCTGCTAGTCTTTTTTATAAAATGTGAAATAAAGATTTTAAGGGACTCCGGCGGCATTACCTGGCATTGTAATCACCAGAATTGTAATCAGGCAACTCTACTTGGGAAAATAATATTTTTTCAAAGACAACACTCATTGACAAAAAATTATTCTCACCCAAAAATAACTACTAACATGCAATTTAATAGTTTACATTGGAGAATATTTTTATAATAAAAATATACACTTTCGCTAAATTTTTGTTTTTAAATATATGTAATTAAAAACGTACTTCTAAATTTCTTAAATGTGTCTTTTACAAAAAAAATTATAGATACGAAATCATTCCTTATTAGTATATTACGAAAAAGAAAATTTTATATTCTAAAGTGAAGAATAAAAATTAAAAAGCAACTTGTACTGCTTGTTATAATGATCCAGAAAAGTAATTTCTGATAATAAATATATGTTAACACTATTAATATAGTTGTTTTATTTTGTTTTATTTTTATTGTCTGTTCTATAAAAAAAATTCGAGATTATGTTGATATTTTATTTATAATAAAATTAAATGATGCTCGATAAAATAAATATCTGCTTTTAAAAAACTAAAGAAATCTTGAAGTCCACTGAATTCATGAATGTGATGAAAGGATTTTTTTTATTATACAGAAACAATTTTGTTTATTATTGTCTGGATTTGACAACAAATTCAAGTAACTGTATTTGTTTTTATTTTTCATTATTAGTCAATGAAGTTGAGATTAAATTGAAGATATAATATTTTGTATTCTTTTAAATTTGAAATTATTGTCAATTTGATTATATTCACTTTTGTTTTATCTTCAAAATTATTTCTAATTCTAATGAAAGAGATTAATTTTTCACATATTAATTTTTCCAGAATTTAAGAATGGTCAGTTATAACCAATATTAAAAATAATACCGTGTTATTTTATTCTAATGTTTCGAGTTGGTGGCAAAAATTACTACCATGATAAATATCTAAAGGGAGTTGTTGATCTGAAAATTTCACTCCTGATACGAGATCAGCTTAATACACAGTTGTTAGCTTTTTCGTTACAATTTATGTTATGAAGAAATTTCGATAATGTTGCAGAATTTGTTCACCATTTTCTGATGGGATAAATTATTATCGATCCGTAAATCTTTATTAAAATAATTATAATTTGGTTAATAATCACACTATAAGCAGTAAAATTTCTTTATAATCTATAATTTATTATTTACTAAATGCTCTTTCAACAGTAACCACTGATACTGATAGGATGAAAGCGACATGACCGAGGAGGTTAAGGCGTCATCCTGTCGCTATGAGGAACACGGAAAGGAATCCGAATGAGCAACCCAGAAATTTTTTGTGTAGCACTTTTCCTATTGCAAACTTCGCCGAACTCACGATGACAATGAAAAAAGGCCTTCTTTGTACAGTACCTATGGGTAGATAGAGATAGAAAAAAAAATACTAGCCATGTAAGAAATAATGTAAATACTGTACAGTAGAGCGTCGATTTTCCGAAAGTCAATCATCCGGAAGAGTTCCAGTCGGCAAATTTAAATTTTCGCCAGTGCTGTGGCGCTTCAATCTTTGGCTATGTCTTGGGCTACTCAAATATTTTACGTTTTTGATACTAAATTAACATCTGAAGTATAATTTTTTATTCTTTTTATATTTTTCAATATATTTATTTTGTTTGTACAAAATAAAAACATAATTTTTAACAATACAATAGTCTTTGTTAGGCTTAACATTGACGAAAATTCAATGCGAAGCGACACGCAACGGAGAAAAATTTCAACATCGGATACGTTAACTATTTTTTCGTACGTAAATCGGTTATCCGAAATATCAGTTATACGAACAACCCCAGTCCCCAATTGATTCGGAAAATCGACGCTCTACTGTATAGTAAAATTTTCCAAAACGTCGTATTTTGCAATTTATAAGTGAAAAGATGTCTGAAAGGCATGTTCAATGATAAAAATTTCCTAATCAGTGAAATCAAATTATAAAACCGAAACGACAATTGAGATGAAAATACTGATAAATATTTTTTAGAGATTTTCGTACTGACTTAATGTATCTGTATTTCACATATTAATAATTATTTTTGGTTCAAGAAATGTATAATACTTTTTGACTAACTTCTTTCAAATTCTTAAATTCTTAAAATGATTTAGATATAATTCCGCCTATTTTTATTTCTTGCTACTAAAAATCCAAAATTAAAATTTATAAATTGCATTTGAATGCTTGAAAATCATTTATTATGTTAATAAACAATTACCAAAAAGGGATCTTGAACTGTATAAAACTTTCAGTGTTCCAACCGAGTATCGCATATTGCCTGGCCAAGATATATAAATGTATTAAATATATAAGTAAATTAAATGCTAATTGATGTATTGAATATATATATTTAATACACTTAATTTACTCAGTCAATAAATTTATTTAATAATATGTGTATACCAATTTATAGTGTATGCATTATAAAATATTTATAGTAAAATACAAAACCATTACTTAAATATTTCCAACTCATTTCAATAAATCACAAAGATAAATACATCTTCTAGATTTATAATATTTAATATTTTTGTGAAAAGAAATTATGAAATATTAGTGTACGTAAAACGAAAAATAAGATAATGATTCTAGTTCCAAAAATAATATTAGGAAAAAAATATTATTTGATAAAAAAATATATAACACGATTTCTGTTTGTTGTATAACGCAAATCATAAATTTATCCAATAAATTTAGATTATCCTTAAAATTTATGACTTAACATAGAAGAAACATAAATAATCGAAGTACCATTTGATGTTACTTACGACATACATTAGAAGCATAAATTCCATCTTGCATTATTTCTTAGAATATCATTCATAGCAGAATACATGTAAATTCTTTTAGTTTTTTTATACCTCTCTATTTTTATGATACGTCTGTTTGTTAGTCATTCCTTTACTAATCTGTTCATTGTGTCGTCGTTTTTATTAATAAATTACAATGTTTTGAAATGTTAAACATTATTTCTAATCAAAATTTCACAAAAACTTTTAAGTACATTAAGTTTTAGAAATTAAAAAAATAATAATCATGTTAAAATTATATAATATATTTTTTAATGTTAAAAATAAAAGAATCGATCTCTCTCATATTTGTTTACTTTTTGAATTTTGTTCTGAATTCTAA